ATGTACTACGGTCCCTTCTTGACGACACGGCGTGCAATACCGCCGGTGACGCGGAGTGTGGGGTGAACTACGGGGCGACGCTGCTTTCAGTGTGGTCGTTTGCCCGTGCGCTGGACCCCGCCGTGCCGGTACTGTTCCCTCCCATGACGCCGTCGATGAAGTACGTGGAGCCCGTCGCGGGCGGCCTCACAACGCTGCAGCTGCTCGGCATCATCGTCGGCTGCGTCGCTGTGCTTTTGCTTCTTCTTGCTCTGCTCCTGGTGTTGCTGTACCGCCGCCGAGAGTCCCGTAAAAACGCGAATGCGCCGAAGGAGCCGACGGACCCCGTGACGCTCGTGTTCACCGACATCGAGAGCAGCACGGCGCTGTGGGCTGCGTGCCCCGAGTTGATGCCCGACGCCGTGGCGACGCACCACCGGCTGATCCGCGCGTTGATCGCGAAGTACCGCTGCTACGAGGTGAAGACGATCGGCGACTCGTTCATGATTGCGTGCAAGAGCGTGTTCGCGGCGGTGCAGCTGGTGCGGGAGCTGCAGCAGGTGTTCCTGCAGCACGACTGGGGGACGGGCGCGCTCGACGAGGCGTACCGCAAGTTCGAGGAGGGACGGGCGGAGGAGGACGCGGATTACGTGCCGCCGACGGCGCGCCTGGACGCCGCTGTGTACCAGCAGCACTGGAACGGCCTGCGGGTGCGTTCCGGGGTGCACACCGGGCTGTGCGAAATTCAGCACGACAAGGTGACGAAGCGGTACGACTACTACGGCAACACAACGAACATGACAGCGCGCACCGAGAGCGTCGCGAACGGCGGGCAGGTGCTGCTGACGCTGGCGACGTACATGGCGCTGAGCACGACTGAGCGGGAGCAGGTGGAAGTGAGTGCGCTGGGCGCGGTGGCGCTGCGCGGTGTGCCGGAGCCGGTGGAGATGTACCAGCTGGACGCGGTGCCCGGACGCACCTTCGCCGCGCTGCGCCTTGACCGTGAGATGGCGGAGCTGGACGAAAGCAGCGATGCCGCAAGCGCCAGTGAGGCTTCGGCGTCCAGTGCGCGGAGTGGCCTCTCGCAGACCATCGCGTCTGTGTTGGCCGTGCTGTTCGGCACCTTTGCTGCCCCGCAGCGGACGAAGGCGCTGATGCCGCTCTGTGAGCGCTGGAATGTTCGTGCGCCACGCAGGGGCGGCGCCGCGCGTGACGAGGAATCGTGTCGCGTGATGATGGAGCGGCTGGCGGCGAAGATGTCTAACGTGATGGAGCGGAAGGGTCTATTGGGCAGTGACAGGCTGTTCTCAGTCACGGTGGGTTCAGCTGCTCTTGGCATAAACGACACCGGCTCTTTTGTGCGGACTAAGGGCGCGCGACCCGGCAGCTCAGTCCGCTTTTTGGAGACGAGGTCGCACAGGGGTTCTTCTGCGGCGGCCCTTTCCGCAGCTTCGGATGAGCTCTGCCTTGGGAAGTCTGACCCGGCCGACAAAGTGCATCCCCCGCAGGAGCTGTAGCTGGGGGGGGCTGTGGCGCCATGTACTGCGTAATGTGCCCAAGCTCCGCCGGCGCAGCTAATGTTGCGTTCCCGCCAGTTTTCTAATTCGTGGTAGCTAAATGTATTATCTGTTTTTGTTTTAGTGGAGATGTAGAGAGGTATTATGTAAACTCTAGTTGACGGCGCCCCTTTTCTTTTTTGTTTATGGCTGCCTCCACGAATGCTTCGGTGAGTCCACCCATCCCTCGCACTGCTTCTTGTCATAACTTTACTTTCTTCGAACTGCTTTTGGAGGAGCGTGGGTGCCGTGAATGTTTCGCCCAACGATGTGCTCTGACACGTGTTCCCCCCATAACTGTCCTGGTCTGTTTTGGTAGTGGGTGCGGGGTGCGGGTAGTCGGTCTTCGCCGTCTTTTTTTGATGGGGCTGGCCCTCATGGCGTCCGTGCGTTTGTGCGCGTGGCCTCGGCCCCTACTGCGGCTGCCTTGCTGCTTGGTGTAGTGGTTCATGTTCGACGAGGCGTGTCGGCCTCCTGCTGCACGGAGGCAACCGGACCAACGGCCCAGGCGGTGCGGATGCGGGTCCGCGGGCATTTGAGGCGGTGGCGCGTATGGCACACGCGGAGGTTACGTGTATTTGGCGCGTCCCATGGCAATGCTCTGCGGCGATGCCTCCGTGTTGGACCGAATGGCCGACCCCCGTGTCCTCGCGGCGCTGCAGCCTGAGTGCGCTTTTGCATTTTCCTCCCGATTGTGCGCTGCGCCTCCGCCCGGCCCACGCAGTTTGTTTTTCGCCGCACATGGT